ACAAAATGGGCGCAGTATTACAGAACTATTTGGTTCTTTTGTAAATTCTATAAGATTTGTTGAATGCAGTTACCGAACAGTTACTACACATTTTCACAGACTTTAAACAAATGTTTTTTTAAACTTTTATAACTGTTTTATAAATTTTCAATTTTGAGGTTAGGTTGCATATCAAAATCAGTAACATTTTAGTTTTTTAAATGTGTCTGGTGAAAACAAATTAATTCTATATTTGTCATAAAAGTAAATTCAAGGCGATATTAGTAAAATGGCAGTATTTAAGAGATATATATATATATAACGCGGTTTAAACATAATGTATGACCTACAATAAAGTCGTTTTTGGATGCGCAGCAAGAATTACTGTTAATTATATAGCACATACAATACTAAATTTTTAAGCGCCTCGAGTTTGATTCATATTTCTAATACTTTTTCAGTGTGAAACAAAAATTAAATTTATGCAATTTGATTTTTTTTAGTAATAAGATTATGCTAATATTACTAATGATTAAAATCTTTAATTTACATTGGTTTTGTCTTAAATACTAGTAAAACCGACAGTAGATTTAGCTTTAAAACTGTCTTAGGTTTTTGTTAAATATGGCGGCTATTCAGAGGTATTAGAAAGTTATTTTAAGACTGAATCATATTTATAAAATATTATTGTAGTAAAAACAGCTGTAATACAATAATTAAGTTGTATTACTTATTTCTACAAAACAACTTCATCATGGTTTGTTGTATAATTGTTTCATATTTCTGCACTATATGACAAAATATAACATAACCTTACTAAATCGTTTCCGATTTGTTTCTACAGCTTTATAGAGCAAGCATAATTTTTAATATTACGATAATAAGCAAGTTTAACATGGACATCGCCAAAAATATGGCCTTCTTTTAGTATTGGGGCATGATTATTCAGAACATACCTAATTATTATCTGGCTGAATGATAGTTTTTTTTTTGAGTGTCTAGACAAACCATCAAAATGTTTTACTAATATTTTTTACTGTTCTCTGAAAAGCAGGTACCACTTATTTTTTACATTTCTTCACTATTTAAATTTGACATTTTCAGACTATACACTCACATACAATTGGTATGGAAAGTAGTTGAACAAACATAAAATACAAAAATAATATGGCGTAGGTACTACCAAATGTAGTTGCTTTATTTTTTTATAAATATTTTTAAAGGGATAATACTATTCTTAACTAAAATAATTGTTATACAGTTTTTTGATTTGTAATAGTATATTTCGACAATATATTACAGTTATTTTAGAGTTTTCATCAGAAGCAAATTGCTATTGATGCGGAATTATCTCACACTAATATTTATATAACTATTTTTTAAAGCGTTATTATGAGGTTAAGAAACAGTTATATTTGTATGACCAAAAAGTTCTAAAGGTAATCCAGAACAATAATATAGAATAACTATAAAGCAATTTTATTTTATAAGCTGAAATATTGTATAGAACAGTTGTATAAATGTTTATGTAACAATTTCGTAGTTATCGTGAAAACAATTTTATAATTTTGCTGTAAGAATATTGTAAAAACTAATGTATATAACTATTTAGTTTCAGAGAACAAAATAGTGATTTCTGCAACTGTAGTACAATAAATTAGCATTCCAGAAACAGCAATATAATATCAATAAAATATAATAGTCTTGTAAACTAAAAATTATAAAGCTACTTTGTTAGTTGGGATGTATTAATACCTGCATTACAGGGTTAATTTATAAGAATTACGGCTCATAAAACAAAAGTAAAATATATTATTGTTTTTTAATATACATATGTTTGTGTGTAAGACATACTCTATTTTTAATTGATTCTGTCTATTCTCAGTTCCTATTTGAAAGATATGACAGGCCATAATGTAAAACTGATTAATATAAAAAGATAATTATTATTAAAAAAAAAAAAACTCTAGATACAAAAATTATTAAAATATAAAATTATTATTAACTTATTCTGCAACTTCTTTCTCATTGTCTATTATCATCAGGTTTACACTGTATAAGATAAAATATATTTCATTTTGAGTTTAATATATTGTAGAAACTTAATAGGCATAAAAATTATTTTTTTTGAAACTTTTGACATATTTTTGCACTTACAAAGTTGTTGTACTGCTGGGTATGCAATATTATCTTGCTTGCCATTTTCAACCAGTCTGGCCATGCTTTTTAGCTTCTCGCCGTTCCGTTCATGCCGCTACCGCTGGTTGATATAAAGACAATCGGACTCCTATGAGAAGTTACTGGATAGTTCTAGCGCAAGTGTCGATTCATGGAAGAGGACCATCTAGAAGCATCTCGAAGAATCATGACTGGATTTGTCTGAAACATAATATTTTTAATATATAAATGGATTTTTGAGTTTAATTTTGATTACAAATAAATTATTTTTATAAAATAAGTTGGTGTATTTGGTGGATATGTAAATAAGATTAAAATAAATAAACGACACAATGTTAATATTTGAGGAATGCTGTTTCAAAAGTTCATGCCCAATGGCTCTCTCTTTGGAGCCGCGCTTGCTATACTAATATAAAAATTTTATTTTTGTTATAAGGCAAAATTTGTAACTGTTGTTATCAGAATAATATTTTATTTCTTATTAGGCGAAAGTTTGTGGTTAATAAAAGGAACTAATAAGTATCATTTCTCATTATTTTGTTGCATCAAAACTTGCTAAAACCACCATGGGGTTGCAAAACTGATAGTTTTTGCTGTATTTGTTTTTCTACCTGGCAAAAAATTTAAATAAGTGGTCAAGATTCTCTTAGAATATTCTTTTAAGTACCTTATATATTAGCAGATCGGAAACTTATTTTTCGTTAATTCTGAGAAATCACATCGCATCTATCTTTTGTAGACCATTTGTCGGAGCAATGTTGTTTTTTACATAACAAATATTTACCCAAACATATTTTATTCAAAAAATCATTTACAAATAGATAAGAAATTTAAATTTAAATTATATAAAAATCTGTCATATTTCACTCTTCTTCTTTATCATCAGAAAATTAATGGCCTCTTTTTTAAAAAAAAAATCAGCCAATTGCCCCTGGCCTATTTTAATCAGCAATTTAACCAACTTTGTTTTAGGCTCCTTAATGTATGAGATAGAGGCTACCTTATATGACAAATAAAATAGAAGAAATCGACTAATTTCCTAAAGAAAGAGGCTACAAAAATTAGAAGAATAAAATAACCTCTAATATAACAAAATTAGAAGAATAAAATTAGAAGAATAAAATTAGAAGAATAAAATAACCTCTAAAATAACCAAAAATTATTATTTTTAAAATATAAAATAAGCGTGATGTATATCAGGATTCTTCAACCTAAAATCTTTTAAATAATAAATCTTTATTGAATTACAATACCCAACTGGCCATCTACCGAAGTCCTTCAGTCTACTTTTTGAGAGCCCATATTTAGCTCTGACCATCTCGATCGTTACTGCTACTACAGTAAAGCCAGCAGAATACAGTTGGTGTATTGTTTGGTTAAATTGGTAAAAAAAATTATGATCAGTTTTATGTGAATCAAGAATTTGCTCTGCTTTTGTCACTACATATTTTATTTAAAATATATACTTCCTCAAATGTATAAAAGCTAATTTATTCATTTCTGAAACATCTAATAATTTATTTTTCATTAACTTAATTACGTTTTGTAAAACTCCTTGTTCTAAATTTAAACACAGCACAGTCTATTAATGTAGCAAAGGATATAAGCCTTAGAACGAAAGCTTCTTAGGAAGATTGGGAACTCCATCGAATTCATTTTTTATTTTCATTGCATAAAAGCATTTGACACAGAGTGAAACATTTACTTAAAATTTTTGTAATACTTGCCTGAATTTCTACTTGAGAATTCAACTGGATAATTTCTTTTTTCAATGAAATTATTTCTATATTTGATTTGGTGTAGTCTTCAGTTATTTCTTCAAGAAGACTCTCAAGGGTTTTATCTAAAATAACAATTAAGTACATGTTGGTGGTCACATCTGAAACAACGAAATAGTTAATATTAAAATAAAAGCAATGATCACTTCAAGATATTGACTAAATATTAATATTTTACATTATCTTTAAAGTACTTTTCGAAAACTTTTAAAATTAATTACTTTGGTATCCAAAACTTTTTTGAAATAAAATTTGTTTCCAAACAAAATGGCTGCCAGTGGGGTATTGATTGATGACAGGTTGATATGGCAACCACAGATCACTATGGCAACTGGCCCAGGTGAATACAACTGGCAACCCTGTACCGACAGGTGATTTGACACGATCAATGATGCATATAGTTATATAGATTGATCATACATGTTGCCTTGAAGTAAAACTGTTAAAAGTAAATAAGCAATTAATTTTTTACTACAGAAACAACAAATTTAATGCTAAATTAGTAATGCTGTAATTTTGGTTCCGCTGACAATTATAGTGACAGTAGGTTCTTTCGTTCGTCCCACTGGTGTAGTTGGGTGTAGTAATGAACTACACCAACCCACACCCATACCTTTCGTTTGGTCCGGTGTAAAACCCACTATACCTTCCTGTCGGCGATGTGGTGTACACTGGTGGATATTTTCTCCACCAGCTATTTAGCAGGAGCGAATTACACTCGACGATGTGTATAAGGAATAAGGAGGAAGTAAATTAGGGTAAATAAGGTGGTGCAACTGGTGTAATTTACACTGGTGGACACTACACCAATAGCGAACGAAAGAACCTAGTATTAGTAACCAATTACATACCTTTAAACTACTTCTTATGGCCTTTAATAAAATAATGAAAACAGTAAATCGTAAAAACATATATGTCAAATATTGTTAAAAGTCTGGTTAGAATTAACTGTCAGTGGAACTGTGTGGAACCAAAATTATTTTATACTTTTATGATAAAATATTATCATTTATCATCAATACGATATGATTATTCTGCCAAAAATATAATTTTAAATCACTAAATATGTCCAAAAACAATTTGCTAAGAGTAACTCAAATGAATGCAATTTATTTGGATAAAGAAATTTACAATTCTTTATATCAAATATTTCTGGATTCTATTAAAAATCTGAATGTAAGTACAATTATTATTAAGAAACAATAATTAGTGCTAGAAGGAATGACAAAATTAATTTCAATAATACGATATTTGCTTTATTAATTTAACTTTTCAGCCTGGTTTTGTTGCCCCATACGAATCGGAAATTAATCTAGCACTGAGATTACTAATTTTAAATAATTCTGTGCTAAAAAATGGCAGTACATTTGGCCAACAATTGCTTTCCATCAAATATGAAGATATATCAATGACAAAAAGATTATTGTATTTGTTTGGATCCTGCTTGGACTATGTTAAAACGAGGTTTGAAATGTGGATGCCCACTCATGATATGAATAATGTACTTTTTAAAATATACATGATTGCTAAGTTGCTTGATTTCATAAACATATCCATATTTTTAAGAAATGGTGTTAAACCTTTACTTATTGAAAGAATATTAGGTTTAAATCAAGTATATGCTACAGAAAATGCTCAAAGGCATTTTGAGTCAAAATATTTAGTTAGAGAATTGTTATGGAATGGTTTTATAGTAAGTATTTAACTGTATGAAAGTTATATAAAGTATTTCATATTGCTTAACCCTCCACAATCTGTACTTCTATTTTAAATGTCATTACCTGTGTGTGAGTACTATGCATTCTTAATAATACACTCAAATAATTTGCAAATAAAAGCAATTTATTACTCTCACAAGTAAATTTATTCTATTAACTAAAATTTTACAAAATCTATAGTTTTTATAAAAGTGGATATTTTAATGAACAATTTATTCCATGTCTGTTTCCACATTTGGTATAAATATATTTATTGTGTTTGCTACAAATTGATTTGAATTTTTTTCTTTGTGGACAAAATGCACATTTGTGGTTTTCATTTGGTCATGGAATTTCTGCTGTTTTTATTATATATTTAATATTTTGATAAACACAAAACATGTAATCAGAAGTACAAAAAAATATTTACTTGCTTATAGTGCTTTGTATTTTCACATTAACAACACACCAAACATAATCTTTAAATGAAGTATATCTAAGCAGCCAAGAGCACAAAACAATTTTTAAAAATGTGAGGTATTCGCTCATAGTGCAGGTTAGGAAGGGTTAAGTACATACAGGGGCATAAAGAGAAGCATTATTGTCACTTATTTTTGAAAGCATTGATTGACATTTTTATTTCTAAAAGTGTACATATTGCAAATACCTTCTATGGTTTGTTTTAGGAAATTTTTGTATATGTCCTTCCACTTATAAATTATCATAAGATTAAAAGAACAATAAAAAATTTGAATCCACTTCATAAGAAAATTATTCTTGGAGTTGTACCAAAAAGAAACATGACTATGCATACCAAATGTGCTCATTGTGGGGAAAATCCAATTTTGCCACATCATATGGGTTGTCCACATATATTCTGTTATGTGTGTTTAAAGGTACCTATCTACATAATATATTTTTTTTAATTTCATTTTATTATAATGTATTAATAAATTGTAATATTTTTAGGGAAACCAGTCAGCCGATCCTAAATTTGAGTGTCCCATTTGTGAATATAAAAACATAAATATAGTGTGCGATCGCATAACTGTGATATAAAATTTTTAAAAATAGTTATATATTTGTTATTCGTTTTATACAATTTTTTTTTATATGTATTGTAAAAAATAAATAAAATACTTTCCATGTCCAAAGTTATTGTCTTGTAACCCTGCTCATCCATAGCAGCATCTTCTAAGCCTTGCAGTGTGACTCTGAGTTGCAATTTTTCGACTGATTTCTTCAAATATTTTTTTTATTCAGAATTTTTGTTTTTAAATTAAGTTTGATGATAAATAGAATTTGCTGCAACATTTCCTCATTTATAAATTATCTTTTTGTATATAATATTTTATCCTATAAAAAACAGACTTTACTAAAAAGAAAACAATCAAAATATATTTAAAAAAAATAAATATTGATCAGAACAAAATTATAATAGTTTGTATTCAATATTTTAAATATCTAAAAAAAAAAAGATTTAAGCCACAAAATATTGGTTAAAATAATAGTTATAATTTTTATATTCAATCGTTTAAATATTCAATTTGATAAAACTAATAGTCAGCTGACGATATAATGGGTGAAAGGCACTTAGTTAATTCATTAAATTATCTCATTCTACTGATTTTATAAACATACTGTATAGGTTTCGTGATTTATGAAATAATATTGTATCCTCACTGTTTATTACAGGTTTATAAGGGTAACAGACGAATAACCCAATGTATTTCCTGTAAATACAGTTTTACAAAATTTGTAACTTACATTTGACTTACTGCAACTTCAAACTGCAAACAAATAAAAAAAAAAGAAATGGAAAATAAAGCTCAATTTTTTTAGCAAGAATATTATTTCTATTCAACACAATTATAAATATGTAAAATCTTTTAAATTTAAATGCCCTGTTATTTTTAAAATACTGTAAAATTCTATACCTAAAAATTATATAAAAAAAAACGTATGTATAGTATAAGTACGTATTAATTGGACTAACAAAATTTGACTATTATTTTTTATATAAATAAGACTACGTTTATACATTTTGTTTTAGAAATAAAATCGCAAAACCCAAATTACTTCCGGTTTTAATAGGAAATACATTTATCCAACTGTAGGCAGAACATATTAACTATTTTAAATTCTAAAACTTTTTAGAAGCACATCTAAGTATTCTCATAACAACAAAATCAACTTAACATTTTACCACATTTGTCGTAATTTTTAGACTTATTCATTTTTACAATTGCCTCCAGCTATTTTGAAGAATTTACCAAATTCAATTGATTTGTCGTTAAAAATTTTGCACCATCTGAAAAAACAACTTAATAAAACTAAATACAACGTATAAGAACGTACAAAAACCGGAGTGAATTTTGAACTGTAAACAAAGCATAATTTTTAATGTTTTCATGTTTTAATGTTTTCATTAGCCTATCTGCACGATTTTTAGAACGTTTACGTTCCAGGGTAAAAAATAGGCGTTGTGGAAACCTTTCTGCACGATAATGAAAATGTTTAAGGATCACATACGGACATACATGTAACTATAAATTAAATACATGGACTCGACCGTGGAGAAAGAATAATAACTGACGGTGTTTCCGAATCGAAAAAAAAATTTAAAATATCGTCATTCGATAACAAAATTCATCCTTTCTGCATTGTTGCTTTTAAATTACACTCAAACAGGTATTTAACAGGGAAATGTCGATGAATTGTAGGAATTTACTAAAGGGGTAGTGCAAATTAGAAAAATTTTGACTAGAGATCTTTTGAAAACAAAAAATGAAATATTGTAATTTCGCTTATACCAGCTGTTACTATTTTATATTAAAATTTCGTAGGACGCAGGCAAAGTACAAAATAATGGTAAAAAAAACGAGACCATTTCAAAATTAGGAATTTCCTAAAAATGCATAATATGTAATATTTATTATATCCCCCCTCAAAACGATAATAAAATGACTTACATCACTTCGGCTTCCTATAAAGTCTAAACGTAGTCCTTAAAATAAGTCACATATTGAATTGGTCACTGAAAAAACGATTTTACAATGGAACAATTTTTAATAAATTAGAACAAAACAAAGAAAACGAAAATACTGAAAAAAAAAGGAAGAACCAATTAATTTTTTCAGCGTCCAATTGAACGAGTGTGCATTTTTTTTTTTTTTTTAATAAAATTTACTCTAAATCAACAATCGTCTGATAAAGCTGACGGTATACTTTCTTTAGTTTTTGACATGGTACTGACTCCTAAGAGCAACGGACAATATTTGTCGCCTGTTTGAATGTCTTTAACGGTCTTCAATAAATCGTAGTTGATGATTTCCGATACCACTGAGTCGTGCCTGAAAAGAAATAAAAGTTATTCTTATTGCGAGAATGAAGTAACAGATTTTTATCTCATTAGAGGGCGTTAAAATCAAATGTAACACAATTATTAGTCATATTGTTGAATTTTTCATAAAATTATCTTTTCGACGATGTGTTATGGGTACTGTACTGGTTAGTGATGGCGGGTAAGCGAATTCTTTAATATCGTAGTTGCTTTTTAAACATAGTTACAGGATGGAGTCCTTGATAATGAGGTTGTGGATAATTTAATTTTTTCAAATTTTAAATAAATCAAAGTACGACTCTAGTCCTCATTCTGATTACACTTTCCATCGCCTTTGGTAAACTCATATATCATATCGTACAAGTATTAGAAAATAAAAAAAAACCGACTTCAAAAACGTGTAGATGCCATCACCACATCTTAACCAAATTTATATGGGACCACCCCTGAGGTACCCCCTTACTAACAAAAAAAGAATCATATAAATCGGACAAGGTGGTAAAGCATTATCGCTAAACATACATAATGAAGAGTTTGAGGATTTTTTCATGGATCCAATTATTAGATTTTGACCAAATTTATATGGGACCACCTCTGAAATACCCCCTTTCTAACAAAAAAAGAATCATTGAAATCGGACACCGTGCTAAAGAATTATCGCTGAACATACATAAAAAAATATATTGCGACGAATTGAGAACCTCCTCCTTTTTTGAAGTCGGTTAACAAGTATTAGAAATTAAAAAAAACCGACTTCAAAAACGTGTAGATGCCATCACCACATCTTAACCAAATTTATATGGGACCACCCCTGAGGTACCCCCTTACTAACAAAAAAAGAATCATATAAATCGGACAAGGTGGTAAAGCATTATCGCTAAACATACATAATGAAGAGTTTGAGGATTTTTTCATGGATCCAATTATTAGATTTTGACCAAATTTATAACGGACTACCCCTGAAGTACCCCCTTTCTAACAAAAAAAGAATCATTGAAATCGGACACCGTGTTAATGAGTTATCGCTGAACATACATAAAAAAATATATTGCGATGAATTGAGAACCTCCTCCTTTTTTGAAGTCGGTTAAAAATAGTTTTATGTCATCTCTACTTCATTTTATCTCAATGGTTCTCACCAACCAGCAAAATGTTATTTATCAGAACCCAATTTGTTAACTGTCAATACGTACTTATAATCTGGATGCTCTGTAACAAACTTCCTAATCCATGATGCCGTTGTAAGTATTTCGCCAGCAGCTCGCCTTTGTATAAATTTTAAGTATTGCTGAATTGTACAGTGCGTATCGGCGTCAACGTCCATGCCCGCCAAGTAGTTATTTATTAGCGGAATAAGACCGGGAAATTCCCCCTCCTAAAAAAATCAATTTATAATTTTACAACTTGTTCAATCTGGCGCGTAGTATTTTATATACAGAGTGGATGAAAAGTCAGGAAATAGTAAATTTTGTAAATATTAAAAATTTTAAATGAACAAAAACTAAAAGTAGAACTCAAGGGTTGTTCATTTAAAAGTCATCCCCTCTGGTACACGGGTGAGAAAGAAGTTTTAAATTAGATTTAAGTGTCAAGTTAAAACATTTAAAAAAAAATTAAAAATATTAAAATCTGAAGTAATTAGCTATTACTAGGCGTTTCTTTCACTCCATATAAAGGTCTAGCAAAGTTTTAATCCTGTAATATACACAAAACCAAACTTATATGAAATCACCCAGTATTTTACTTCAAAATAAAAGAATTTTTATGTTTTAATATGTTAAAATAAACTCTAATCTGATATACAACTACATTTTTATCATGAAAGTTTTTTTTTTCTGTAAAATATTGGCTGATACGTGATTCTATATAGTTTTGCAGGTACCTTTATGATTAATGTGTTGGTAATATACCCTGTATAAGTTCAAATGAAATAATATCGCATCTAAAAAATATCTGATGAATAGATATTCATAAAACATCACTACGTGCCATTCGCACCACTAGTCGTTAAGCGATAAGCGAACGTTATATTGACATTGAGTGACATTTTCATTCGCACCGTCATTTTTGTTTTCGTTAAGTAGTAGTTATTATGAGTTTACCTGCAGTTCATCAAATTTCTAGAGGCTTTCGACGGCTAGACAGAGAAAGCACTACTGACAGGCATCCCGACGGATTTACGCAATGAAAGTACACTCTGCGCATCAAGTATTTCACTATTTCATTCAGACGTAAATGTCAGATGTAAATTTCGCTAAAACATTTCTTTTATTTTCGTTTGTGTTTTTTGCTCATTACAGTTTAATAGAACCTAAGTATGGAGTTTAATAGCAAATTAAGAGGCCGCGTGATTAACAGTCAATCTCGCGAAATAATAGCCAATGTTATAGAGTTTATGAGAAGAGAAGGAAACTTTAATTCACCTTCAATACCATTTAAAAATGTAAATGATCGTGTTGCTGTAGCCACAGGAGTATCTAAAAACACTGTCGTCCGCATTTCTGGAGAGAAAAAAAGAATCGATAACCGTGAGATATCGGAATTTTCATCACCAAGAAAAACCATTAAAAAACCAAAAACAGTTAATGATATAGGTGAAGCTGCACAAGAATCAAATTTTATTTTTTTATTATTAGATAGCTATTTTTGTTTCTGAGTTGTGTTCATTTACAGGCTCAATTTTTTTCCGTTTCTCCTTTTTGATTTTATATGGGGTTTCAAGTTGTTTTTGACTTATTTCGACGTAAATCACAACAACACACTTTTTTAATAAAGCAAACAAGTGTTAAGAGGTATATGTACGTGTAAACTACAATTACAAAAAATTGATATGAAACCCATGAAACCACCAACAAAAATGTAAAGCTAGCTTCCGTACTAGAACATGGTGTCATTCGTCGAGATAATTTATCGTTTTGTTTAATAGATCAAGAAATGTAAATATTCCCCTGTTATTTTTTATAAAATTATAAGAGAAATAAATTTTTTTCTAAATAGTATAGTTTATTATTTTGTAGAAAAACAAAATTTCGAAAATTTTAGTAATGTTTCAGAAACAACCGTTATTAATAATAGGTACCATTTTCCTTAATAAGGTAGAAATAAAATATAAACTATTTCCACGATTTACAAAGGCATACAAAAAAATTATAGGTATTTTCCGCTATCCTATAAAATTTATATTTTCTGACTCAATTTCAAAAGGTTGAAGGAATTCCAAAACACCTTTTATGGCATAATAATTATTTTCAATTCTACATACTATCTTTAGCTGCTTTTAAAAACGTTCTAAAAAAAGTCCAATCAGACCAATTTAATCCCTAAACTATTCCACACTTTTAAAATTTAATTACTTAAAAATATTAAAAACTATTTAAAATAACTTGTTTAGCAGACTGTACAATAGCTATCTTAGTCACACGTAGCGCGTTCTCTGTCTGGGCGTCGAACACCTCTAGAAATTTGATGAACTGTAAACTGTAAATATTTGAGGTTTAAGATCTTAACGAAAGAAAATTGACAATATGTGACAGACTTGTCATATTCATAACTACGTGAAAAAAGCTCAGAGTAAGTAAGTAGTAAAGAGAGGACAGTAAACAATGTTTGTGTCGCCATGATAATATGGTCGAGAATTCTAATTAGAGACAAATAGATTAATATCTCTATCTCTTTGTTTGTATGTCAGTTTTACAAAGCTTTTCTCAGACAATTATTCCAGTGTTTAATTTAAATTTGTTCGTGTTGTGGTGTTAAAAGTAATTGTTATTAATATTATATTCATAACAGAAAAGTCATATTTTGTTTTCACTTCATTAAAAATGCACCTACCTACCTACCTACCTACCTTTTAAAACCTTTTATTTTATATTCTATTTGGTCAACATTTTCGCATTTAAAATGACCCAGCGAAATTGTTTTACGGTACGTTACTGCTGAGAATTCTAAAACGAGTGAGAAAGCCTTCATTAGAAAGAGAGATACTGATTATATGATAGCGATATTAATATTGTATAACTTTATGCAGTGGTGGCCTATCTGCTATTATATTATCTAAGGAAAAAAGAACATTTTAAAAATTTGGTGTGGTGTTGTCAAAATTAAAATGGATTTGTTGTTGATGATGAATTGGAAGCTGTTGAATTAATACTAAATGTAATGCCGCGAAGAGTGTATAAGGGAAGCCAATATAGTTAGGATCCACAGACCTTTTTTCTAAGATTTTTATTATCAAAAGAGGCTGTTTTAAAATTATTATCCCAAATAGAGGATAATTTGGAATTTCCGTATAATATGTTTGTATTTAATCATACAATATTGGTATACATTTTGTGAGTTTATTCGATTTTTAGTAATAATTGTGTTTCACGAATTAATCAATAATTGTTACTAACTTACAGCTTTTTAAATCCAATAAAAGAATTAGAAATACCATTGAATGATATTTTGGCGTGTGGAAACGAAGATTTTCGGTAATTGCATATGGAAGTAGACTAATAATAGTGTCTACTGCAATTATAAATAATATATGTAGAAGAAGAAACGAATGAGATCGATTTTCTTCAAGTTCTTAAACAATTTAGAGCTCCTGACCTACCACCCCCACATGATAATGTTGGCATCAACGTTAGAAATGATTTAATATATTATTTTGAAGCCCGTCGTAAAAGATTTATAAAATCCTTTAATAAAAATGTAATTTTTAACATTTTTTTATAATTTTTTCTTGCTAATAATTCTTGAAATAACCAAAAAACCAGTTGTTAAGTAATTATATTTTATGGTATATACAATAGAAATGAAACAATTCGACAAATAAAAACATAAAAGAACAATAAAAAAAATATTAAAGTTAAACAAATCTATTTAGAAATCATTTATAGAAAAAAAAAACCATAGAACACAAAATCTAAATAGCTGAAAAGCAATCGTATACGTGGATCATGATAAAAAAGAAAAAATCTCATAGTTGCCAAGTATTTTATTCGTTAAATAAAGCGCTGATTAAAAGCTGTTGGTGCGAACCATCATATTTTAAACTTCACGTTAAATTTATCCAAAACTTAGTAAACGAATACTTTTATGTGCTACCCGTGCGAATGGCCCTTAATATTGTTGGAATTAGTTTGTCTATTCATTTATTTCAAATGTAAAAACTTTTTTAACCATACACGATTTTGAAATCTTAAATGTTGAATTCATATATCTCATCTAGCTCTGCTCATAAGATTATTTGAAGTCAAAAAGGGAAAGGGTATATAATGTCTCAAAGTAGGGAACAACAAAATATTATTATTAAAGAAGGCCAGCATTACCGAGTAAAATTATTTTTAAATTGTATATTCTAGGACTAAAACCACATACCATTAATACAAATTTCTTGTATTATTAAATAATAAACTGGATGTTATAGTGGCGATGTCAAATGAACTTACCTTTCCATTTATAATGTCATTTACAGTCATCTGTCCGAACATATCACATTCTTTGACGTCACAATTTGAAGTTCCAGTTCGACAACATTCTGCCGCCGCTGGAGGACTCACATGCGTCGTTATGTCTCGTCTAAACCAGAACTTCTGATCTCTGGCTGCGTTTCTTTTTTGCGCTTTTTGCATATTTTCGTCTACCTAAATATAAAAACGGTCAACGCTATTTTCTTTTGTTGCCTACCCAACTTTGTGGCGGCTCGTGACATTACGACATGAAGAGGCAGACTATAAAATACTTTGATACAACTAAAATTTTGTAAATTATTTATTTATTTACTAAATTATATAGCAATATCCAACGTGGAGGTGTAAAGGAACGAATTATGTGAAAAATATAGAAAACAGAAATAACAATCAAACCGCCACTGCGAGATAATACAATTTTTGAATTTACCTTACTAATTGGTATCAAGAAATTCAATTGGTACGATAGTATCACCCGCGTCAATAGCACCACGAAACAGACGATGGCTGCATTTTCGAAATCCGTTACTTGAGCTTCGCATGGTCGAAATTCTACACGCCAACCTATCGTCGAATGGGGAGGTGGCGGTTTAAACCTCATCGTCTGCCAATTTGTCGACTGGATGTTCTACAAGAAAATCTATTCGTTAAATATACTACAGTTTATGCAAATATATTTTAATTAAATAAAAACAATGAAAAAAAAAACAACATTAACCTGCTGTTATCCGGTAGTGAGGTATACCACAAGGATCATTTTTTTATCTAAACGAATTATCTAATTCTAATGATGAATATACAGGGTGTCCTTTAAAATGTGTCCCAAAATTCTCAGGCAGATTTCTTAACCAAAAAATGGAAAAAAAGTTCCTATAGACCTATGTCCTAAAGTGCCCCCTAAGCGAGCAACAGCCTCTCGAAATCATTTTTTTTATTTTGATTTTTTGAATTTTCTTAAAAATGGAAACAAATAAAAGAACCAAATTTTGGCTGTTAAATATGATCAATAATAGTGACCTTTTGACACCTTCAAAAAGAAATTATTTCGTCAGGGGTGTACTTGGGAATTTTTTGAAAATTTTGATTATTCATAACTTTTTTGTGTTTTTGGTAATGACTTATCCATATATTTTTTTACATTCTACATTGAAAACTACGTCAAAAAGGAATACTTGTTTGATCTCGATTGGAGCAGCCGTTTCCGAGAAAACATCATCCAAAGATATTCGTGCAGTTTAGGTTAATTTTCAATTTTGGCTGTTGTAGCCAAAAAGTTGGAAATCGAGGAACACGGCTTACATGTCCCTATCCTTACTTTTGAAGGTCTATTCAGTGGCAAAAAATATTAGTTGATACAGGGTGATCAAAAATCGGATGTGATTTTGGATTTTTGATCATCCTGTATCAAATAATATGTATTTTATGTCACTGAATAGACCTTAAAAAGTTAGGATAGGGACTGTAAGCCGTTTTCCTCGATTTCCAACTGTTTGGCTACAACAGCCACCTGAATTTGAAAAAATGTGATTTTTGAGTAGCTGTAGATCCTTTACTATTCATATTAGATAACAAGTGTGATATATCATTGAAATCAGATTATCGAGCAGATTCTAAAAATATAAAAATATACAGGGTGTTCCATTTAAAAAACATAACTTTGATTTGGCACGGCCTTATGAAACACCCTGTCACATCGTAACTAATTTTAAAATGTGAAGCTTAAAGCTGCCTACTTTTATTATAACAGATCTACAGAGCTTCCTCACACTAATCAATCACCCTGTATACTATTTTTAGCTCTCTAAATAAAATTTAAAAATTTAGTTCCCATTTATTTATTATGAAGACCATAAGGTTTGTATTTAGCTGTTTAGAATAAAAAAGTAAAAATATGTATTTTTTTGGCGTTTTTGTGTTTCATGGATAATTTTTTTCGCTCACTGATAAAAATGTTTCTTCAGTTAAACATTATTTCTAAAAGTGTTCTGGTGCGATTCGTTGTATTGTTATTATTTTGTTTAAAATGGCTCACAATAACTACAATAATGATTACACATTCGGCGAAATGACGGACATGCACTTATGTTTTGGACTCGCTTCTGGAAATGCCAATGAAGCTCGCAGACTTTATCAGGAGCGCTTTCCAAATAGGCATCTTCCATGCGCTAAGACGTTTTCTAGAATTGACGATAGACTTCGGGAAACTGGTACATTTAAGAAAAACTCTAGTAACAGTGGAAGACAAAATTATGTGAGAACTCCTGCTTTGGAAGAAGCAATTTTGGATAGGGTAGCTGAAACCCCATCGACAAGTACCAGAAAAATAGCAAATGGTAAGTAATTACTTATTTATTATTTTAGCTACCCCGTACCTTATCGTATAAAACTAGTTTTTTTACTTGTTATTGCTTCTCTTACATTTCACGACTTTTCGTATCGAAAAGAGTTGCGTTATGCAGAAAAAATCTGATTTCCCAAATCAATGGATTCTCTTTCTTAACTATTCACTACACAGATTCTCTCATTTAATTTCAGAAGTGGGAGTCGGACGTAACACGGTATGGAAAGTTTTGCGTGAACAACAATTGTACCCTTACCACATTCAAAAAGTTCAGGCACTTAAAGCTACTGATTATGAGCCGCGAGTTATCTTTTCTGAATGGTTTCTTGGAAGATGTAATCAAGATGCAATGTTTCTTAATAAAGTGCTATTTACCGATGAAGCTGGTTTCACTAGAGATGGTATAATAAATTTTCGAAATATGCATGAATGGGCTGAAGATAACCCTCACGCGGTTGTTGAACGTCACCACCAGGATAAATTTTCAATAAACGTCTGGGCTGGAGTTATTGATAATTACCTTATTAGACCATTTGTTTTGCCGAATAGGTTAAATGGAGCAGCATACAGGCTTTTTTTGGAAAATAACTTACATGAGCTTCTTGATAATATTCCGATTCAAATCAGACATTACATGTGGTTTATGCATGATGGAGCTCCACCACATTACAGCCTTGAAGCTAGACAGCACCTTAACGAAAGATTTGAGGGTAGAGTAATTGGCAGAGGTTGTCCTGTTAACTGGCCACCTCGTTCACCAGATTTAAATCCAATGGATTTTTTTGTTTGGGGTTATTTAAAATCATTGGTTTATTCCAGTCCTGTTGAAACAGTTGAAGAATTGAAACAACGAGTTTTTCATCATTGCGAAGTTCTTAGGAATAATCCTGAAGTATTTTTTCGTGTAAGACAGTCTATGATGCGACGGTTGCGCTTGTGTGTGGAAACCAATGGTCGCCACATTGAGCATCTGCTTTAATTTTTTTTGATTTGTTTTTTTAGAATAAATATTTTTTTAAACCGTTTCTTATTATTAAATAAAAATAGTCCCACCACGACATTTGAACTACAATTATTTAGAGAGAGCTAAAAAAGTTATTTTTATTTACGAGATTCACCGAGGTAATTTAGGAAAATTGAAAATTAAGCTAAAGTGGACGAATATCTTTGGATGATGTTTTCTCGGAAACGGCTGCTCCAATCGAGATCAAACAAGTATTCCTTTTTGACGTAGTTTTCAATGTAGAATGTAAAAAAAAATATGGATAAGTCATTACCAAAAACACAAAAAAGTTATGAATAATCAAAATTTTCAAAAAATTCCCAAATACACCCCTGACGAAATAATTTCTTTTTGAAGGTGTCAAAAGGTCACTATTATTGATCATATTTAACAGCCAAAATTTGGTTCTTCTATTTGTTTCCATTTTTAAGAAAATTCAAAAAATCAAAATAAAAAAAATGATTTCGAGAGGCTGTTGCTCGCTTAGGGGGCACTTTAGGACATAGGTCTATAGGAACTTTTTTTCCATTTTTTGGTTAAGGAATCTGCCTGAGAATTTTGGGACACATTTTAAAGGACACCCTGTATAAAGTATTATAGTTCGCTTGAAGAACAAAGAGTGTGTTCTCAAAAATGTAATAAAAATTTTTAAGCAATTTTATTTTTGACAAACCTCGTGTACGACTGATAAAATTTGATATCAGATGGTTACATTTTAAGTTTCAGGTCATGTACAACTTTTTAAGAAGATTAAACCACATTTTAGTCACAGTGCTAATAAAAAATAAAGTCTCACCTCGAAATGATCGGAATCCTCTTCATCGTTTTGATGAACCTTCTCTGAGAACAGCGACACAGAATCCCTAATGAACAAATGCGCAATATGTCCAGCTAGCAGTGGATCGATTCCGTTGTCCACCAATTTCTGGTAGTCTTCTTTGTTGTACAAAAGCGGTATGTCGTTGTACTTTTCCCCTTGTGGAGACAAATACGAATCGATGGAATCGTAACGAGATTTGTTAATGACGAACGTATTCTCCTTTAACGGTTTCAGGCCCCTTTCCTCTTCAGTTCGACAATCAACCGATCCTGAAATCACATTCCAACGACAGTCCACGTCTGTCACGAATCCCCTGTATAACGGAGAAGCCGCTGTAAATGCAAGCTGAAAATTATAAAAAAAATGGGTCATTACAAAATAGTGGCTGGAACTTTTATGAAAAGAAAATATACCAGCCTTGTAACAACGTTGCCATATATCAAACTAGAAACATAACGTTTCTAATTTGAAAATGCATAAAAGCAGAAAATAATCTGACGTTGTCAAAGAGATTTTGTAAACACCAAAAATGTGGTTCGTTTTAACGTAAACTCCATATTTCACTGAAAAATAATTATTCAAATTATTTGTTACATTTCAAAATTTTCCATTGATTCGATTTTATCAGCTACGCATTGATTTAATCTCAATCAAATTTTAATTGAAGCTTTATGTAATTGTTGCAAGGACAATTAATTATTATTGTTACGAGATTTTAATATTTTGTTGCCACACAAGATAAAATTATACGGGTGGTCGCGTGATTTTTAAAAAAACAGTAAATAACCTACCATGATGGGACATAAGGGCGTCAGTTGGTCGTACAAGGTTCTTGCTTCTGTGATATTACAAGCCTGAAACGTTAACTGTAGACAACAACATCCCATCCCGAAACCCATAGCATCCATGTATACATGATCTGGTAAGGCAGCTCTGTCATGCTTGTAGGAATCGTCAATGGGTATTTTCGTATTTTTGTCTCTGAAAACTAATAAAAAATATTTTAAAATAACGAGAAAAACTCGGTACAATAAAATTATAAATATCAGTCTGTCAACGTTTTACAAAACTATAATGGATATAACCCGATTTTGACTGTTTTCTGGCCTAATGTTTTTGACAAATTTCTGTTTGCTCATGTACCTATATTATAATAATAATAATATTTATTCGGCTTGGAGACATACATATTTACAATATTTTAAAAAGGCTAAAAAATGTATAAACATATAAGACCTATTAGCCTTGTCAACACATACAATTTTAAAAAGTAGAGACATGCTACAATTGAGTTTAAAATAAAGTACAAATTAAAAATAGTATACAATAGGGCAAAAATATTATACAATAATTATAATAAAGAGATGCCATTACGGATCACCGAGTATCATTCATAAATTCTGCATAAGAATAATAAGTTTTGGACGAAAGATATGCAGGAAAGCTATTTTTGAATATATTAAAGATTTTTCATCACCATTGACTTGAGTATGTCTATTAAAACATGCAACACCTCTGTAGATTTAGGAATTCTGTCAAACTGAGACTCTAGAGAAAGACTGCTGTAGATATTTGTGATTGCGTGTGTTATAATTGTGTGAATGTCTATAATCTGATAGTTGGGATTCCTGTTTTTTTATATTAAGTATTAGTAAGATGGAAGTGTTAAGATTTTAAAGTAATGAAAAAGTTGTTTGCAGCTAGTTGTTCTCGAAGCCCCAGCCATGCATCTTATAACTTTTATTTGTACACAGGAGGCTCGCTCCAGATGAGCTGAGCAGCTCCAAAAAATTAGACCGTATGCGATAACCAAAATATATTAATTTTAAAACATCGGGATTTACAGTGTTTTTTAACTGCCTCATTAGAAAACATACACTACTTAGTATATTTGATACATGATCTACATGATTCTCCCACGTTAACTTGCTGTCCAGAATTAGCCCAAGAATTTGCTCGAATTTGTTTGTATCAATGATTGATGATTTAGTTTAACAAGATAGCTGAAATCGTTTGTTATATTTTTTGGCAGAAAGGTCACAATTTCAGATTTTTTTACATTAACATTTAAGCCGTGTGAAATACAATAACTACAAACTTCATGTGCAGCACTATTAGCGGGAATATACCTCTTGGTCGCCGCGGTCAGTTTTACCCAAATTTAATCCTTTCTCTATTCGAAAGGTATAGGCCACTTGGTCTCCAAACCTGGATTAAGGGTTCCAAGAAAATTATGGGGTTATTTAATTATTCTAATTATAATATCGGTTTGTGACCTGTCGAGAACTAAAATAAAAATATTTTTCATCAGTTAATTGTCTGCATTCTTACTGAAAAGATTAATTTTTTTATTTTAAAAGTGATTCTCATCTTATTCATTATTCCATAAAAGAAGTTTTGAGTTTGTGTTGCAATGGAGTCGATGTTAAAAGAAAAGGAAAAAAGTTGTTAATTGTAAAAAAATATACATTTGGAAAAGACAAGGAAACAAAGTTAGGTGTATCATATAAGTGTACTCGTCGTGGGTGTAAAGCGACTATTGGAGTGGACGATTCGGAAACTGTCTTATTGAAATCTAAGAGTGAACACAATCATCCACCATCGGACCATTTAGATGTAAAAAAACTTCAAAACGGATTGAAAAGAAAGGCAACAGAAGATATTTGCGTTAAACCCAGTAAGTTAATTAATAACGGAATCCGAGGGGAAGGAAATACTTTTAATGTATCCACTACGTATGTTGACCTCATCAGACGAAGCATATAAAGGGCAAGAAGAAGTATATTGCCACCTTTGCCAAAGTGTATCAGTGATGTTCATAGTGTACTGAAAGCAATACAATGTGTTACAAATAAGGGTGAACAATTTTTATTATTTAACAATGAAGATTCACAAATTATTTTATTTTCATGTGATTCAAATTTAAAATACTTGTGTTCTCGTGATAGTATTTATTGCGACGGCACATTTAATTATTGCCCTAATTTTTTTTTACAATTTTTCACTATACATGCTGTTGATAACGGACACTACATACCATTGGCATTTTTTGTTTTACCAGATAAAAGAGCAAGTACCTATGCAACTGCATTTAAATTATTAAAAGATTACTGTTATAATAATTTAAATTTAGATTGGAAGCTGTGTAAAGTTATTTGCGATTTTGAGAAAGCCATACACACTGGTATTATACAGATTTGGCCTGATATCTTAATTATTGGATGTAGATTTCATTTAACCCAATCGTGGTTACGTAAGATACAAAATCTGGGTTTGATTTCCGAATATAAAAATGAAAATTCTGAAATCGGCAAATGGCTTCATTACACTTTCGGCATTTTATTTTTGGAAAGTACTGAAGTGGCAGAGTGTTTTTGTAAAGATTTAATTCCAATAATGCCATTTGACGAGAGATTAACTTCATATACTCTTTATATGATTAATACGTATACTAGCGATACGTCTGACTTCCCGCCTACAATGTGGGCATCGTGCACAAGTTCCACAGAACGCACAACAAATGCTTGTGAGTCTTTCCACAAACATTTTAATTCTGCTTTTTATTCGGCGCATCCCGATATATTCAAATTTGTTAATGTAATTCTCGATATTCAGTTAAATACTTATGTGAAATTAAACAGTACACATATACCTAACAAAATTAAAAACGCTAATTACAAAAAACGGCATGCGTATTTAACGAACGTAATAGAACAATATAAAAATAAGATCCTTTCACGAACTCAATTTATCAAAGTAGTTTCTTATCATTACAAAAACTAATTGCAATTTGGGTTTCTTAAATAATTTTTATTTGGTATTTTGTGTATTTTGTACCTACTTTTTTTTATTATGTATAATTTTATATTGTTTTCTATTAATAAGTGTTTTTTTAATTTGGTTTTATTCTTTTCCTGACCCACATTCTGTACCATATCATATCAGTTAAAAATTTCTATTCACGTGGAAAATAATAAAAATCAGTTAAACTATTTTTTTCTTAAAAATATTATTTTCAATAAATCGAAATAGATACCTTTAATGATTGATAACTACGGCGACCAAGAGGCCTACCTGATTTTAAAACTGGAGACCAAGTGGTCGATGAGATTACGGAACCCCGCTGACAAAACTAACCGCGGCGACCAAGTGGCCAACACCCCTATTAGCAATATATTGAAGTTCAGATGCATTTTTTGCTGATGTTCCAAAAGTTGTGTCATCTGCATATATAATTTTGGTACTTTGACTTGTACAAGATAAAGCTATATGTCATTAATAAAAACTAAAAATAAAACAGGACCCAATATTGAGCCCTGCGGTACTCCCGTTGTCACATTTCGACTATTTTATTTACTGCATCCGATGGTTACAACTTGTTCACTGTTGTTTAAATATGACTGTATCCACTTATTTACCTATTCTGTACAGTTTATCTACTAGTAGTCGATGGTCAATTGAGTCAAAGGCTCGTGAGAGGTCGAAGTATAAGGTAATATTTACCTTGTTATTTAAAGATGTGTAAACAAAATCGCGTAACTCCCCTATAGCGCTAGATGTTGACTTATTTCTGAAAAAGTCTATTATATTCTAGAAATTTAATGAACCTGTTATTATAGGCCATTTCGAATACTTTAGCAAGTTGACTTTGAATGAAGATGTTCCTATAGTTTGCCATGTCATTTACTTTATTTTTATATATAGGAATAGATTTTGACTTTTTTTAATATGCTAGGATAGTCAACACATAAAAAAGACTCGTTTATATATCACAAGGCACACTACTCGGTCGTCTTTTTCATTACATACATTACTAAATTTAAAATGTGAGTTAATTTGAAATTTCTAGCAAAAATAGAGCTCTATAAATGGGGGAACGTTTAGGGGAGTTAAAATTAAAAAATAAATCAAAAACGAAAAGTAATATCAACATGAGCTCTATAGCTTTATAAAAAGACGAATCCTATTGATTCTGAAAAAAATTTAAATAAAAATGGGGGGTTAAGAGGGGTTGAAATATTTAAAAATATCTTAACTCAAAAACGAACAATGATCAATTCGAAATTTTTGGAAAAATCAAGCTTTATAAGGGGATGAAGCCTATTGATTCTGACAAAAAATCTGATTGATAATATAATTTACAGTGTAGGTGTAAATTAATCATAAAATGAACAAATATACAAACAAAAGAAATATATTTTAATTATAGCGAATCTAAGTGGCTCTCTGAGATAATTGTAAGAAGAAATAGATAATATCAGAAAGGTATTTTTTATATTCGAAGAAAACATAATTTACTGTACTTTACAATAACTTTAAATATGTGATTTGTATACTGATATGATGAAATCTGTTTTTAATTAAAATATATTATATAGAATTCACAAAACCTGTAAATTCTTAAAGATAAGTACGTCATTATAATTAATGTCCAATAGAGTTATTTAATAATTTTAATTTTGGTACTGACATTTTTTTACATGTGTAAACTATTTCTCTGGGTTGAATTTTTAAATAAAAAAAATAAAACACCGGCAGTAACTAGGATCCTTCGAACTTCAGGCCTATATCTCTCATTCCTACAGTGGCCAAAATTATTGAAAAAGTTGTAAAAAAACGTTTGATTCATTATCTAGAAACTCACAAATTGCTGGAAACACAACAGTTTGGTTTTCAAAGGAACAAAAGTACTTCTGATGCGATATTTTCTTATCTTGAACATGCTTATTCTAGAATTAATGTTGACGATTCTGTAGCGGCGATATTCTGTGATTTAACTAAGGCGTTCGATTGCGTCAATCATACAGTACTGTTGGATAAACTTCGAGTTTACGGGATCAAAAACGGAGCGCTGAGTTGGGTAAAATCTTATCTTTCAGAACGTAAGCAAATGGTAAGAGCGTCTCAGGATTCTCAAGTTTTAGATATTAGTTGGGGTGTCCCTCAGGGTTCTGTGTTAGGTCCCATTTTATTTCTCCTTTATGTGAA